AAATTTCAAATATTTAATTAAGTGTTTCTCTTTTTTTCTTAAAAAATTTAATACGATAAATGAGAACAGATGTTAAAGACTCTATAGTAAATTATCATAATATAAATTTTCTACCAAATTTTCTGATATTATATTTTAAAATTATTACATAAAAATTTTTAATATTTTAATTGCACTTATCAGCTTAAATACTCCAAAGCAGCAAGATCATTAAAACATGTGTATGTATGTTTTTCAATTCAAACACATCAAATATTCTGGATTATACCAAATCAGCAACATAAATTACAAACCATATTAATTACTTAATAATTAATTTAATTAAGTATATAAATGAATTAAAAAATATTCTTATTTTTTTTTAGAATTTCTCAATTAACTTTCAATCAGATATGATTTTTTATTTAAAATTTGAATAAGAAGTTATGGAAATTTTTAATTACTTTAATTATATACAAATATTAAGCATAAATTAATAAACAACGTTTAGTCATCACAATTTAATTGTATTCATATTAATAATTTAATATACATATATATATACATAGATAGTAAACACAAATTATTAATCAGTGATTAAGTTATCTAGGTATTTTAAATAAAATCACAATGTTTAAATCATAAGGTATATTATACTTGCTCATATATTCTGTATGCATGTCCATATTATAGTATAACAACTTAAAAACTTTGTAGAATTTTAAATTGAAATTATAATTTACTATCTGTGTAATTTATTATAAATTGCATATTTTTATATTTAAGTAAGCATTAGAATCTGAAAATAAATATATTAAAATTTCAACTAGTATGATTGAAGGTCAATTAATTTTAAGTTATGGGCATTATAAAAATTATTCTAAGTAATTGTATATAAAATCGATGACTCAGTAAATAAATATTATATTTTTGTGCGTCCAATTATTGTTTGATTTAAAATATTGCTAATACATACTTACATGTATACAAATAAAATATTATATAAAATTTTAAATTTTCATTAAATTAATTCAATCACTTAATTTATAATAATTTTTTGTAAATATACAATAGAAAATATTCTTATTTAATTTGAATTATTGATTAATTCAAAAAACGCGTGTATTTTTAATAAATTGTAATGATAATTTTATTTTAATAAATCGATTACTAATCAAAAATAATACATTTACTTATATTGAACAAGTTTAGTACACAATGTGATTATAACAAATGGAATGTTACTCATTTTTTATAATAATATACAAGTTATAATAATATAATATTAGTTATATTGTAAATTTTAAAAAATTTTGTAATACTTACTATTTGTTTACTATATTTTCAATTCATTGAATATAATTTTGATTTAAAAAATTCTTGATTTCATAAATATATAAATAAAAATAATTTAAAATTATTTTATAGGCGCTCATATTTCTATATTGTTTAATATATGTATACTAAACTTAATTTTTAAAATTAAAATTCTTTAAATTAAATATTCTAAAATCTTGTTTAATAAAGAATTAAAAATATACATATATTTGTATGTATGATTTTTGTTCTAGATAATTATTAAATAAAAATAACCAGATTTTTTTTTATTAATCATTGAATTTTCCGAAGCTTTTTCATGCAAAATTCCATAAGAAACAGAATATTAATACGATATTTTTAATTATCAATAGAAATATTAAAATAATGATTAAAATAAAGTGTTATATCTATATAAAATATATTTAGAATTATTATACAAATAATTAAAAAAAGCAATATGTTTAATTAAAAAAATATTAAACTAACCTCAAAATTTATTTAAATAACAATAATACTAATATATAATTTTAAAATTCCGCCACCAGTTCTATACAAATTTAAATTTATAAGTGTATTATCAGTTTAAATTGATTTCAATGAATTATTTAAGTATCTTAATGGAATTTAAATATAAATTTTGAAATTTTGAAAGTGAATGACTTTCAAATGATTAAGAAAATATTCTTTTCATATATTTAAATTAAGTTTTAAAAATTTCATGTGATTTTCAATTTCCAAAATCAATTCCTCCTCTTAAAAATAAGACAAACAGAATGAATTTATATTATAAATAAATTCATAATATTATTATCATCATTTATTAAATAATTATTTATATCCGTGTTATAAAGATTGAAAACATAAAATTTAAGTTTAAGCGACACCAAAAAAAAAAAACACAAATTTGGGTCTCTAAGAACATCAAAATCTTGTATCGTAAATTTTGTTTTCATTTAACATAAAGCATGAATACATAGTTTGATATACACGTTTACTTTTGCTCTCATACTTATAAATACCAAAGCCTCTACTACAATAACAATTTATAAAAGGAATGAACTTTTAATGAGAAATTATTGTTTCCCATCATTAAAAACTTAACTTTTACGTCATATAACAATTTAAAAATGTACTGAAAGCATTTTACTTCATTAATGCCATGATAGCAAATCGTCGCTATAAATAAAAAGTAAAAGAGAGCGGAATCCCTTTCTTTTATTGTTGTTGATTTGTTTTATATATGTACGTTACGTACGCAATTTTCTTATATTACAACAGCTTTTTTTTTCTCTTATTTAATATTAAATACATACATATACATATAGATACATATACATATTATTGAAAAAGAAATAAAAAAAAATTTTGTATGCTATAGCATATATTTTCATTCAAAAGTGTAATTGAATTAATTTAATTGGAAACGTATGTATTTGTAACGTACATACAATGTACGTGTAATAAACGTATACTATGTTTTGATAAACGTGTCGTATGTTTTTACTTCAACTTTCTAAATGAAAACGCTCAGAATATGTTCATTATTAAATAAATTTCTTAAATTTGGATGGAGCCTTCCATATGGGTTTTTGGATCCTAAAAATATTAAAAAATTTAGAGCATCAAATCGTAGCACATTTAGATCAGTAATAATCACTAGTAAATATTAATTATTTGTAGAATCGGCGAATTAAGTACATACTTACATACCTCTATTTATTTATTCACCACCCCATAAAAATTTATTTAAAAAACCAGGAGGTGAAGTTCATTTTTCCTGTGTTCAAAAAAAAAAACGTAATCCGTACAACAATCCATCTCTTTCAAATCAATTCGAATTCAACAAAATATTTTAAGAATGTCCGGAAGTTTTCTTAAAAAACTTATATTAATTTACTTGTTTATTTTAAAATTATAGGAAAACAAAAAAATTTAAAACAACGCATATTTTACGCTTTATTTTTATTATATTCTTTATAATAGAACAAAAAAAAACGTAAACGGAAGTGAAATTGCAAGAAATCTCAGTATACAAAAACAAAAACATTAAACAATTTTTCATTAATGCAACAGAAAATCAAGTTTATATGCGCATTTGAATGTTGTAAATTATTAATTGTTATACAATAATTTTACAATTTTTTAGTACAAAATTTTTGTATGTATATGTATGTGTATAAAGTGTAAACAAAAAAGTTGCCATATTAAATTAATTTGATAACATAAATTCCTGATTAACTTCAATTTAAAATGTTCCAAGTCATATACAATATTCTGTTATATGTCCATATAACAGAATATTTTTAATTTATGTGTAAATTCAACATAAATATTATGTTTTTTAATTAATCATGCAATTTCCTCTATCTTGTTTTCTTGTTTTTTTTTTTTAATTTGATTTCCTCTATATTTTAAAAAAATGTACACGCTCTATTTAAAAAATCTAGACAAACTATTAAGTATGACTCAAAAATCACCTGTAATAAAAAGCTTTTAGCAATGTACATGCATACAAAATTACAATTTCAAAACATATAAATAGCTAATGCTTAAATAATTGGAATAAAATGGATAACTGAATAAACTCTAGCATACACGCATACGTATAACACTTTAATAAGTTTTAGTTGTCTATTAGAAAAAATAATTTTATGTTTGTCTTACAGTTTACGAAATAACGTTTATAATCTTTAATATTTTAACAATATTATGTAGGTTATGTTAAATACCAACGGTAAGCCTCAATATATTATAAGTTAGATAATAGATACATACATGGCTCTCCAACAGGTCCACAAACCAATAACAACGTAGGACGACTTATTCTTATTCATATTATTTTCTATGTACTGCCAACTGCTACTGTTCCTGTAGCTTACAATAATTTTTAATTATAACAAATTTAATATTAAAAATTTTCCTTTAGCATTATTTGTATATTATAATTAGAAACAAATTTATTATACAGATTGGATTTAACTTTTTCCCTATAGAAGACAGTAATTTTCCAATAATAATGGAACGCTTATGGAAAAAAAAATTTCTCACTTTCATGCTAAATTTAATAAACAACATAGAAGAGTAAAGCATAACCTTCATTTTTACATTATTAATATTTTGTTGCTTTTCTTTTATTTTCAAATTATTACTTAGTTGTTAAAAGTTTTTAGCAAAAAGCAAAAAAAAAAATTGTTAAAATTTTGCAATGATAATAAATTTATTATATAAAAGTTAAACAAAATTATAGACAGTAAAAGAGGCATTCGAGGCAGCGGGATTTGTATAAAACTTTTTATATCTGAAAATAATATTATTAATCATAATTGTTTTATCGTAGATAAAGGCTACTCGTGCTATAATTTCTTGTTTTCATTTTTAATTGTGTTATTATTAAAGTGTTAATTTTTTATTTTTATTATGGAATTACAAACAGTTTTATATAAGTTTGATTCATAAGTAGGTGCAATAACATATGATTAATTGGCATGACTAATGATGAAATTTCTAACTTGAATGTAATAATAATTGAAATCGTAAAATGATAACAAATCCTTAAAAAATTCATTAAATCGATTTATTAATTATTGATTTTGTAACTCTTCTTCCTTGATTCTCAAAATTATAAAATAATTAATTATATATCAAGAAATCTTTTAATAATTGTATTAATGGTATATTTTTTATTTCTTTATTTTTTGTAGAAGAAGCACGTAAGAAAGGATCAACCGTTTTATTGCATTGTCAAGCTGGCATATCACGAAGTGCAACAATTGCAATTGCGTATGCTATGCGTTATAAATCACTATCATTAATTGAAGCTTATAAATTAGTTAAATTAGCCAGACCAATAATATCACCAAATTTGAATTTTATGGGACAATTATTAGAATTGGAACAACATTTACGAGAAAATGGTACATTAGAACCACAAAGTGCTACACCACCACCAATTCCAACTCAATCACAACATTTTGAATTCAATTGTAACACTAATAATAATAATACAAATAGTATCGATAATACAGAAAATCAACAAGAAGATGCCGAAATGGAAAGCGATAACGATTATGATATAGATTCAATGACAAAACATAAAAATCAATTAAATTTAAAAAATAACAAAAGAAATTTATTTAGTAATTATGAATGTACATTATCACCAACATTAACAACAACATCATCATCATCAACATGTTCATCACCATTTTCTGGTGCATCAACATCATCAATATCATCATCATCATCACCGGCAGCTTTATTAACACCATCACCATCATTATCATCATCAGTAACATTAAACTCAAACAATGGTACCTGTTTTCCATTACCACCACCAATTGGTATAGAACAAAAATTATCGGCAGTTCAAGAAGATAAAATATTAAATAATTTTAATATAATGGGAACATCATCATCATCGGCTGCAGCAGCAGTAATAGCAACAACATCAAAACATCATAATTTTAATAATCATAATAATAATAATAATAATAATAATGAAAATTGCGATTCAGTATCCGTTGATATATTAAATGGAAATAGTATGATAGATGATGATGTTGATTCAGTTGTAGAGACACGTACAATAGCACCGTTAACTAATGATGAAATCACATTAAAAATAATTAATAGTAGAACAAAAAGAAGGCCTAGGCCGTCATCTCTAAATTAAATTGGAAAGGCATACATTTAAAACAATTTATCTTTAAATAAAACAAAAAAAAAATTCAAATACATACAATTGTAAAATTTAAAATATTCAATGAAATGCATATATAAATTTGTTTTTTTTATATAATTATGTAATAAATTTTGTATCACCAATTCTACCACCATTATCCAGCTTATTTTAAAAACAAAACGTAAATTATAAGATTATAAAAGTTAAATATTGAATAGAATAAGCGAATTTTTAACGAAAATTGTAAATAGAATATTTTTTTTTAAATCAAAAATATAAAAAATAATTTGAAAATAACTACATATACTTGTATATATGTGTGTTTTTCAAAAAATTGACCTGACCTTATTTTCGGTATTATCAAAATTTTTATTATTTTCAAAAATTATAAAACACAACTAGATTACATTTTTAACAAAGCCTCGTAAAATTTTAAATTTTAATAGCTATTGTATTTGATTTAAACAGTCTATAACTACACTTTATTTTCTTAAAACAATTATTTCCTTTTTGTACATACTGTATGTAATTAATTATTATTAATTAAAAAAATAAAATAAAAATGAAATGCAAAACTATATAAAAAAAAAATCATTAACTTATTTATTTTAGAGCTTAAGTGAAAATAAAAACAACATAAAATTAAAAAAAAAATTACATATTTTAAATTATAATAAATTAAATAATAAAAGATAAATATGATTTTGATATACACATGTATAACAATAATTATTACTTATTCAAAACCTTATTATTGCAAAAAAAAAAGAAGAAAAGAACAAGTCCCTTCATTATTGGAAAATAAAAAGTTAAAGGGAAAACACTTTTTGACCAATTTAAAAGTAAAAAGTCATTCAATATTGAGTAACTAAAATATAAAAAAAAATAACAATTAAAAAAATTAAACTAATTAAGAATAAAAAAAAAAGTTTTATTTTTTAATTATAATTTTAGAACCTTATAACTCTATATGTATTCTATATTTTATATAAAACGAAATTTTAATTACACAGAAGAGGAAAATTTTAACTTGGCGATTATTTTGAAAAAATAATGTTATTTCTTTTACTTGGATCCACATGCACCACCCCTTCTATTTGTTTTTTAATCAATTAATCAAAAATTTTGCAAAGTTTGTGTTGCATCAAGAGTCAAAACACTATTGAAATTTAAAAAAAAATATGTAAATTTTTTTTTTTAATATTAAAATATAAAAATAACAGCAAAAATTACTTTTCCAAACATTTTCAATTTTTTATAGTAAGTTTTTGACCAATTTATATTTTTAATAACAAGTAAGAGAAAGATCCGTCTTAAAACTTATTCTGTTTTTGGTAAAATTTCAGTAAAATAAATTAAATTTTTTATTAAAATAAAATTCCAATAAAAATTAAAATTTTATTTATTTTCATAAAAAAAATCTTTAAATTTTTAATTTTTCTTGCGCTCAAATGATATTTTAAAATGCTTGCCTGTTTGAGAAGTTCCAGATGTAAACTGAGATTATTAAAACAAAATCGCAGGTTTACAATTTTTATTTTATAGCTGCATAAACTCTTTTCTGCAGAATATTAAATTTGGAGTCATAGAATAATACTTTTGCTGTTAAAGTTATTTAAATTCGAAGTTAAAAATGCAACCCATATTCTTCTATGTAATTGAGATTCATTGATAAGATGTAATGTTAAAAATATTTATGTTTAAAATACAAAAAAAAAAAATTTATTCAAACATAAAAAATAAAATGAAAAAAAAAAAAATTAAATTGCTTTATATTTGCCATATCACTTATTTATATAAGATGAAAGAAAAAAAAAAAGCTAAAAAATTTACTATTTGTTTTGATTATTTTTTGTAATTTTTTTTTTTTTTTTTTGAAAATGTAGTACAAAAGAAAAAATATTGAAAATTCTTATTGAAAAACAAAAATACATATTTAATATTTACAACCTTTAACAAAATAATCAATACACACCATATATAATTAATTATATATAATGATATATTTGTAAATATATACCTATATAATGCTTGTTTTTAATTTTTTCTAATTAATTTTACTAAAAAAAAAACTTACAACCATTATAAATATTATAATATCAATTATATAATTAAATTATATAAAAATTTATACTATTTTAAGGCAAAATTAAAAAAGAAACACATACACACACACATTATTGTATAAAATGATTTTATATTATATAATATTATAAATTTTTGCTATTCTGTACTTAAAAATGAAATTATTGTTACAAAAATAGAAAAAAGAAAACAATCCTTATGTTAAAATTATGATAATAATGATTTTACAAAAGAAATTAAGATTGATGACTGCTCATTTGATAACTAAAAATTTTAATAATATTGTATTTAATTAAACATTAATTTCAAAAAATTAAAAAAATTTAAACAGAATGAGATGTTTTTGTTAAATAACTATCAAAATTATTTATTAATTGCATAATAAATTGGAATTTGTTCTCAAATATAAATTAATGAAAATAATTAAAAAACAAAATTTTAATACAACTTTTTAATATTTACTTAAATTTTCGCAAATATTTTTGAATTATTTATAGTTATTTTATATTGTGCAATTATTTTATGTAAAATTAATTAAATCATTTTACTCTATCTACTTGGTTTCTCAAACTATTCAATAAGAATGTTCATAATAAACGTTAATTTTAATTTCCTTATTAAATAAAAAAATTTCAAATTAAATTCTCATTCTGTTTATTTTTATATAAATTAAAAAAAAAATTAGAAAGAAATTACTAAAAATTAAAATCATACAATACTTTTTACATACATATATATGTATATATATACGATTTATATATCAAATACATTATAACTATTGAAAATCACAAGATTACTATTATTAATTTAATCAATTTAAAAATAATTCTTTAATTAATTTTAGTTTTGTCTTTGTAAAAATATACTTTCTTTTTGTGTATTCCTCAAAAAAAAAATAGGAAGAAAATGACTACCAAATGATTATAAACTACAGACTATTAATAAACTGTTTTAAGTTTTTAAAAGAAAAATTGTAAAAAAAAAACAAAAATGCCCCTCCCGCCCCCCAAACCCCTAATAACATATTATGTAATTTAGAATTAGACAAATTAATATATTAAACATAAATATTTTAAATTAGCAAAAACAAAAATGGATAATAAGAGTATAAAATAAAAAAATTCAATAAAAATGTGACGAACGTTTAAATTAAATTTTAAACTCTGTTTATAGCTGAAAAATTTTTAAACAACCTGTAATGAAATTTTAAATATAATTAAATTAATTCAAATTACAATTTTCATCTATTCACCGCTTTAATATTTTCGAATTTACACCAATTTTTAAAAAATTTGCGTCACAAGCACAATAGTTGAATTAATAAAAAAAAATTTTTCCTCAATCTTAAGTTATTTAACTTCGTTTTGCTTGAATTTTTATTTTTTAATTCTACTATATATTTTATACAATCTAATTTATTAATTTTTAAGGAATCTAAAAATATACGTGTCAATATATTAAATGAAAACAAAAAATTAAAAACTAAAACTGAAAAAAGATTTAAAAACTAAAAAAATTTATATTGAAAAGAACTTGTATGCATGTATTTATAAGTATAAGAGTATAATGAGAATGTTAAACAAAAATTTATAATAATTTTAAAATTATAGTATGAAACCGAATTGAAAAAATATATATACAAAAAAATTTAATTTTAAAAAAAAAATTAGTGTTTTCTTTAAATTTAATTTTAGTATTAGAGAATTTCGAAATTATATTAAGGGTGCGCCCTTAGACCCTACGCCCTTATTAGGCAATAATTAATAACTGATTTTATGTTTCTTTCTAGGACATCGGTCATCACTTTATTCGAAAACTTTTCAAAAAACAATTTCACACAACAAAATATTGTTTCAAAATATTGTAAAGAATCTAATAAAGAAATATTCCAGCACTATCTGATTATGTAATATGTAATTTTTGTTTCTACATCGTATAAAGCAGTAGTTTCCCATCACTAAATAAAAAATAAATTGCCCTCATTGTTATTTTTTTCCAATAAAAACCTTTTAGAGTTTTACATTATAAATTCTTTTTTATTATTAAACTCAAAATTACATTTTTTTCAAGTTTGCCAAATTACATAATATGTAGGGAAACATACATATGTATAGGAATTTATTTAATTATAAAACTTGAACTAAACACAAATATGTTTTAAATATTTAATAAAATTTGCTTTCCAAATTAACTTAAATACATTACGTATTTAAATTACTACTTACAAAAAGTTGCATACATTCATCCTTAGAATACGTTTTATTAAATTACAAAAGAATTTTATAAAAACTAACGTAAGCACTAAATATAAAGTATCCAGCGCAATGATGATTACAATAAAAAATTAAAAAAAAAAAATAAAAATTCTTATATTATTTTCACTTATTGTCCTTTAAACTTAATAATTTAACTCTTTTTTCTTCTGCCCATTCCTCTGCATGTTGACTCTTCTTATGTTTTAAATAATTTGATCCATGTTGGAATGTTCTTGGACAATAATTACACGTATATAATGGTTGGCCGGTATGACAAGCAGTATGTTCCTAAAATATACGTGAATATACCCATGTATATGTATAAATAAAATTCAGTTTGTTGAGATAATCACAAAAGATTTAATATTCTTACCAGCAAAAGTTTTCTTCTCTTAAATGCTTTATTACATATATTACATAAGAAATTTCTTTTTTCAATTCTATGAGCTTTTTCTTGATGGTTTCGTAATGCAAACATTGTTTTCAATACTTTATCGCATTGCTTACATTTAATTATTGTACCCTCAGGTGGATGAACCATTTTTTTATGAAATGCTAATCTATTAACTAATTTACCACATTTATCACATTCTTGAAGTCCCTCTACTTTTCGTTTATGTACTTCATTTATATGTTTATAGAAGCCACTTGAACTTTTGTAAATTTTCCCACAAAAATCGCAAACCCGCGGTGCCCGCTCTCTATTGCATATTTTTTCCTCATGAAGTCGTAGATTCATTTCACCTTTAAATCTTTTAAGAAAAATTTCCAAAATAATTATTTAAATTTTTAGGACAAAATTACGGCTAATCCCCTAACGATAACATGGAGAAAAATACTTACGTTCTTTTACATTTTAGGCACTCATATTTACTAGTTGTATGCACCTCATATTTGTGTTTCTTAAGATCAACACGATTAGAAAATGATTTGTCTGGGCATATCTCGCAAGGATAAAGTTCTTCCTTTTTCATTTGATGAACACCTATTAAATGTCGCTTCAAGCTTCGGGTGTTGACAAGTTTTTTGTCACATAAATGACACCTAAAAAAATAATGGAAATAAACCGTATAAGCAACACAATATCACTGTATATATATTAAAAAACTTTAATTTCGTAAGATTAACTACAACTATAGATATCTTACTTCAGTCTATCAGAATTGAAATGATTGCAATCAATATGATCAATTAGTTCTTCTCGAGTGTAAAATTTTAATTTACAGCAATTTATAAAACCTCTTGTTTGGTGTATGTTATTATAGTGTCGTTTTATTCCATTGAATGATGTAAATTTTTCATTGCATATTGCACAAATGAGATTCATAAAGCTACAAATCTTATTATCCTGATCTTTATCAGTATCGTAATCTATATTTTTAAAATTTTCTTGCTTTAAAGATGAAATATCCAATTCAAGTTCGTCTTTTATGTCTGTTGGATCGATATCTTCTTTAATCTTAGTTTTACATCGTTTTTTCCTACTTGGAATTTTCTGACTCTGGCTCCAAAGTGGATTAATTTTGTCTAAAATAAATAACATTTTAAATTTTTTTTTTTTTTTCACAAACTTAGTAGTTACTTTTCTCCGGTTTTACATCCAAATCACTTTTACTATCCTCACTTTTTCCGTCATCCACAAAATTATTTCCGTCTATTTTTCTAACTTCAACATCATTAGATTTTTCAGATTGAATTAAGTGTTCAATTAAGACATCAAATATCTCATTTGGCTCCTCTTTCACACATTTTATGTTGTAACTTCCCGCTGAAGAAGATACTTTAAAGTCCCCTTTTGTCTCCTCTTCATTATTATCAGCACTAAATTTGTTTGTGTTCGAAATGGAAAACGTTTTTTGAGTTTCGTGAACTTTTTTGTAATACTTATGAAATGATTTTATTTGTTCAAAACATTCTACGCACAAGAAACTACTTTGAGCCTAAAATAAACAGGGTAACATTTTTAAAGACTTTTGAAATTATTTAGTTGCTTACCTGAATGTGTAAGTATTTTGTAATTAAAACGTTAACAGTGCTTTCTTCACAAAAACTTTCCAAAATATTAAGTAGTTCACAAGAACTTTTAACGCCACATAATGTACAAACGCTTTCAAGCATTTCAAAATGTATTTTACTTGTGAAAACCAATTTTGAATATTAAACAATTTTTCCAATAACAGAATGGATAAAATTATGTTTTTCATTTGTTAATAACAATACGAATCAGATGTTAATCTGTCATTAACAGAATCACACAAATTAATCTACCAATATATAGATTCTCCCAATAAACCATTTCTGAAAGACATGTGTCGCCTTATCTCAATCAAGTATGTACCAATAATTTCTCATTCCCTTCTGGTTCACACCATATAAAATTGGTTTTTTTTTAATCGGTTTTGAATTTGAATTACAAGTTCGAAAATGTTTTAAAATTGAAAACGTTATTTTTAATTTATATTCACTTTTCCCAAATTATTTACAAGGATTTGCGTATAGTCTTAAACGCAACTTTCTTTACATGCTGCACAAATTCAAAAGTTTAGTTTGTCATTTATCGCTTTTTCAAGTTCAACAAAAAATCCGATTTTTAATCTGCAAATGTTTTAAACATGTCACATAGAGCAAGCAATTTTGTATTTGATTTTAATATGAAACCATTTGTTGCATTTTAGCAAATTTTGCAAGGATTTGCATAAGTACCATAAAGTAGATGCTATTAAGTATTGAACGCAACCAAAAACCCCAAAAAAATAGCACCTGTTTATGGTTCTTAAAATAATTTCTTTTAATATACATATATGTGAGTATTCATACATATGTGAGTACATACCTGCATTTCTAAAGATTCTGTTTCCAACCTTAAGAAAAACAGAAATTTTGTAAAATAAATTTCCTTTTAATTACATTTTATTTTTAATATAAAAAAAAATGTTTAACACAAAGTTTATTTTTTCAATAATTTATATACAAATAGAAAAACTTATTCTTCGTATCACAAAATTCTCATACTTTTGGAAAAATTTAGTTTTCGTTGCTTAATGAACATTGTATTGTTTCCAATAGTTCTTAATTCTGAGTTGTTTGTGAAATTTTAATACATATATACATATTTAGCTTTTTTTTTCTTTTGCCCATTCCTCTGCATGTTGACTCTTTACATGCTTTGAATAATTTGATCCGTGTTGAAATGTTCTTGAACAATAATTACACGTATATAACGGTTGGCCGGTATGACAGGCAGTATGTTCCTAAAATATAAATTTTTATATTGTGTTATGTATGTATTTTCATAACACAATATATACATATGTAAGTAAAATTCAGTTTGCTCAGATAATTAAAAAAATTTGATTTTCTTACCAGCAAAAGTTTTCTTCTCTTAAATGCTTTATTACATATATTACATGAGAAATTTTTTTGTTCAATTCTATGAGTTTTTTCTTGGTGATAATTTAACGCAAACATCGTCTTAAAAACTTTATCACATTGCTTACATTTAATTACTGTACCTTCTGGTGGGTGTACCATTTTTTTGTGAAACGGTAGCCTATTAACTAATTTTCCGCATTGATCACATTTCTGAAGCCCTGCTAACTTACTTTTGTGTACTTCATTCATATGTCTATGAAAACGACTTGAATTTTTGTATATTTTTCCACAAAAATCACAAACACGAGGTGCAGGTTCTCTATTACATATGTTTTCCTTATGAAAACGTAAATTTAGTTCACCTTTAAAACTTTATAATAAAATGTTCATGTATGTATGTATTTCTTCCAAACTTTCAAGAAAATAAAAAAGCAAACTTACGTTCTTTTACATTTTAAGCACTCATATTTACTACTTGAATGCACTTCGTATTTATGTTTCTTAAGATCAACACGATTCGAAAATGATCTGTCAGGACATATATCGCAGGGATATAGCTCCTCTTTTTTCAACTGATGAACGCCAATTAAATGCCGTTTCAAATTTCGTGCGTTAACAAGCTTTTTTTCACATAAATGACACCTAAAATAATAATTGAAATAAATCATATAATCAAAAAAATTTGTGGATATCTTACTTCAGTTTATCAGAATTGAAATGATTGCAATCAATATGATCAATTAGTTCTTCTCGAGTGTAAAATTTTAAGTTACAACAATTTATGAAACCTCTTGTTTGATGTGTGTTATTATAGTGTCGTTTTATTCCATTGAATGATGTAAATTTTTCATTACACATTGTACAATTGAGATTCATAAAACTGTAAAGCTTGTTATCTTGATCTTTAGCAACGTTAAAATCAATTTTAGAATTTTCTGGCTTTAAAGGTGATACATCGGGTTCAGTTTCATCCCCTATAATTGTTAGATTGGAATCTTCTATATTCTTAGTGTTATATTGCTTTTCTCTTATTAAAGTTTTGTGGCTTTCATCTTGAAGTTGTGTTATTTTGCCTAAAGTAAACAAAATATTAAATTTGTTTTATATTCATATGGATATTAACTGTTTTCGAGTTTTTGTTCTAAATCATTTTTGCTTCCTTCGCTTTTGCTATCATCATTCTCATTATCACTTTCTTCAACTTTTATAGATGTGTTATCATGCGATATTTCGGATTGAATTGAATTTCCAACAAAAACATCAAATACTTCATTTGACTCTACTTTAATAAAACCCTTAGCCGGTGGAGATATTGTTAAATCCTTAGTTTTATGCTCTTCATTTTTATCAGTGCTAAATTTGTTCGTTTTGCGAAAGGAAATATATTTTTGAACTTCATGAACTTTTTTGTAATATTTATGAAATGATTTTATTTGTTCAAAACATTCTATACACAAGGAAGTACTCTGAGCCTAAAATAAACAGAGGAACATTTACAAAAAAGAACATTTTAGTTTTTTGGACACTTGCCTGGATGTGTAAGTATTTGGTAATTAAAGCCTTTACATTGGTTTCTTCATAAAAACTTTCCACAATATTGATCAGTTCATTAGCGCTTTCAACGTTGCACAAAGTGCAAGCATTTTCTAGCATTTTTACTTTTTTAACTTAGGTTACTACTTTTCAGTTTTTTTACAGTAAAGAAATTTAATGTTGCTTTGGTGTATAAAAATCATATGTGTACTTGTAAACATGAATTTCATACACAGCAATTTTTTGCAGCTACTTAATAAGTATGTCAATTTAATTTGCTTACATTTGGCTGCGTTTATATTGCAGCTATTTAGTTAAAGGTTACTTTGCCACATGCATCTCTGTGGCTTAAGCGGGCATTTATGTCGATAATACTCGTAATTATTACGATAATTACATAATGGTGATTTATGATAAGTAACGCAAACATTTAAATTTTGCATACGTTTTTTTTTATTTTGGTGTCGTTATTTTCTATCCTTTTATCTTCTGAAGCACTTTCAGAACAGACTTCGTATATTTAATCTTAGTTTTTGTCGTGTACGTAAACCATCAGCATCTCAGGACTCGTTTTTCATAGTTTATTTGGTATATTTACATACATTTTTATAGAACAAGTACTATTGTGAATGTAAAGAATACAGACAGAGAAATTTGTGTTGGCATTTTTACAAACTATATGACATTTTACAATGAGTTGGCAGCTGGTTGGCATTTTGGCAGTATGTCGCTAACTCTGACTGGTTTCATACAAAATAATCTTTCCATTTTCAACACTTTCACATTTCACATGTAGAATCGGTCAGGTTGTTAATAATAATTTGAATTTAAAGTAAATAAATTTGTGGTGATAATTTGTGAATGAAATATAAAAGGTTGGCATATTTTAAAACTTTAAATGTAATACTGAAAAATTAAAAACATAATATAGCTCTTTAATATTTATGAATTTAAACTCATCCTTTGGTTTGACTTCGTCATCAATTTTTTATATAATTACATTTCGTTTTTGTTTTAGATGTTCAGATACGGAATTTTAAGTGTTGTTCTGATAAGCTGTTTATGCTTCGCTGCTGCTGAAGATGAGACCAAAGCACGCCTTTTGGTCGCTAAACAAATTATGAATAGATATCTTGTAGAAAAGAGCGATATTATAGTAAAATATACACTTTACAATGTTGGTAATGGGGCTGCTATCAATGTACAGTTGACTGATAATAATTTCCATCCAGAAGCTTTTGATATAGTTGGTGGAAAAGTTAGCGTAACTGTAGATCGAATCGCTCCACAAACAAACTATACTCATGTTGTTGTCGTAAGACCAAAATCTTATGGATATTTTAATTTCACAGCAGCTGAGGTTAATTACAAGCCTTTTGAGGAAGCAAAAGAAGTAATTTTAAAGCAATGTTTATATTTGTTAATACTTATTCAAAAATAATTTCAGATTCAAATTGCTTTAACTTCTGAACCAGGAGAAGGGGGTATAGTTGCTTTGTCTGAATACAATAAGCGATTTTCATCACATTTCTTCGATTGGGTTGCATTCGCTATAATGACTTTACCATCATTAGCAATACCATTTGCGTTATGGCATTCTTCAAAAACAAAATATGAAAAACTTGTGAAGCCAAAAAAGCACTAAATTTGCTTTGGATTAGAACAAATTTATTTTCAGATTTTTTAAATTCCTTCATACGTTCACGTGTTAAACTAGTTGAGTCTGTACTCTTATTTTGAAATTTGTACTAAATTATTGCAAATCTTTGATTTAAATTAAAGTTCAAATTCGTTTTAGATTTGAACAATTTTTCAAAACAAAACGTTGTTTTTTTTTTAAATAAAATTTGAAAAAATAAAAAAAATAATTTATTTTGATATTTAAACACTGGTATAAATTTTTATCCATTTATTGCATACATACATAACTATGTATTTTTAGAAAATACAATTATGTATGTGTATCAAAAAAAATTTTATAATAGGAAATTAATTAAAAAAAGAAGTACTTCAAGTAAAAAACCTTAAAAATGCACGTTCAACAGTATTGTTCCAATGAAATATGAAAAGTTAAAATCCTTTTCCATGTCTGAAACCTCTACCGCCTCCCCTACGATTGCGTTCTCCAAATGAGGACAATTCGTTTGCTCTTCTTTCACGCATCGCTTGATAACGTGAAGCCATATCTCGCAATTCCCTCGGTACTTCTTGATTAGCTTCTTCTAATATTTCAATCAAATCCTTAGCGGATGCCCAATCTTCACGAGTCAAATAACTTATCGAAATTCCTTTACGTCCAGCACGCCCTGTTCGGCCTACCCTATGAACATACTCTTCTATGTTCTTGTTTGGAAAATCGTAATTTACAACATGTGTAATATCTTCGATGTCGAGACCTCGAGAAGCAACGTCGGTAGCAATTAAAACACGTACTTCTCCGGAAGCTATATCAGCTATAGCTTGTTCGCGATCACACTAATAAAATAAATTTGTTTTAAATTGTAAATTAATAAAATTATTAATTTTTTACTTGATCCCTGGAACCGTGTATACATTGTACCATAAAACCTTTTAAGGTCAGTTCACTAGATAAATCGTCAGCTCTAGCTTTTTTGCCACAAAATATAATTGCTTTATCTTGAGGTTCCATATTTTTTACGAAATCGATTACCTATTAAAATAATTGTTATGCCGTTAATAATAATTGCGAAATCCAGAATTATAAACTCCAATATTTACCCTGCAATATTTTTCATCTTCATCCATTATTTCAATGACTTGAGTAACAGTTTTAGCAGCTGCTAAATCCAAGCTACCGATACATACCTGAACTGGATTGTTCATATACTGTTGCGCTAATCTTCGAACTCCAGGAGGCCAAGTAGCGCTAGTCATTACAGTTTGCCTATCTGGTCTTATATCTAAAAGAACTTTGCGAATTTGGGGCTCAAATCCCATATCTAACATTCGATCGGCTTCATCTAATACAAGATATGTAATACTGCTAACGTTAATAATTTCATTTTGTACTAAATCGTTTAAGCGACCCGGAGTAGCGATTATAATTTGCGTTCCTTTTGTTACCAAGTTTATTTGATCTTTTCGACTACCACCACCATAAACGCAAACACTTAAATATTTTATGTTTATAATATTATTGTTGAATACCTATTTTATTGCTTACGATTTTATTCCTCTGAAAGAATACTTTGAAACTTCTTTCTCTATCTGCAAGGCTAATTCTCTAGTAGGAGCCAAAACTAAAACATTTGGACCCTCTCTTTGATTTCGAGCTATTGGTTGATACTCCGTATGTATAAACGCAGGGAATAAAAATGCAAGGGTTTTCCCCGTTCCAGTCTGAGCAATACCAATTAAGTCTTCCCCTTTTAGTAAAACCGGCCAGGCTTGCATTTGAATGGGAGATGGCTTTTCAAATCCCTAGAAAATCGTTCAACAAAAGAATATATTATGAAAATACCTATACACTTTAATGAAAAATCAAGCGATATGCTTACTTGTTTTTTAATTTCTTGCATAATGTCTTCATATTCTTCAAAACAATGTTCGAATTTCCAAATAGGATTTGGAATTGGTTCAGAAGATTCTTTATTTTCCAAAAATAATCTCGAAGCAACAATATTCATGTTTTCCATGCGCATTCTTGAAACTTCTTCTGCGGGGCAATTTGATACTTCAGCATGTTCTTTGTAAAAATTTTTTAATAATGGTGGACATTTCGCCCACTTTTTACGGCGTTCCTCTTCTGATTGTATGTAAAGTGCATGCCAGTCTATTGGGGCGGAATTGTCGTTATCATTATATGACTCTTCTTCATGTTCTACTTGAGCATATTGTCTTTCAGAATTATATTTCGAAGAGTTTTCATTGCTAAAATCATTCCTTTTGTACTCTCGATTTTGATTGCCGCTTGATAAGTCATCTTTATAAAAACTTCTTTTTGTTTCGTAATTATCTCTATTAGAGGAATAATTTTGTGATGGTTGTTTATACCTATTTCCAGTTTGGAATGCAGTTTTTAATTGATTTTCAATATGAACTATTGCATTATCTATATCTAACTTGGAACCACCAGAAATATTAACTTTGCTTTTGCCATTATTTTCATAATTCCTATCAATGTTTACTCGTACATGAAATTGAGATTCAATTTCTTTTATGTTTGAGCCTTTTGAACCAATCAAAAGACCTTTTTGAGAAGAATTGATCATAATACATTCATTGTTTTCATTGGCCATATCAATTTTCTCTTTGCTATTCCAATTTGTACCTTCCTTTCTGAAACCTTCATTTCTATCTGAACGGTTTCTGTTATCACGCCTTCGATCAAAATCATTTCTATAAGATGATCTGTTAGAATTGTCTGAATTCCAATTACTATTATTTGATTTTGAATAATTTTTTTCAGTATCATTATTATCATCTTGGGTCCAATCTTCTATTTGGTATTTTACATTTGAATATTTTGGGCCACGATGCCCTCGATTAGAATATGATTCATTCAATTTAAAAGCATTATTTTGGAAATGTGTATTGTTCGTGAAAACCTTGTTATCAACTGTTGTTTCTTCTTCATTATCCCAATCTTCAGACATTTTACGCTTCCGTTGAACCTAAAATAATTTTTAAAATAAATTTGATAGTTTCGATTTTCAAATTTTATAATTTTACAGAATCAGATTTCTGCGAACGCTTTTCAAAATTATTTAACATTTACTGTTAGAAATATGTAGTTTTTTCAGCAAATACTAATCAAGTTTCCATGCAAAATATGTCGTTAGCAAGTGTCAAAACATCACTTGTATATGAGTATAATTTGCTATTGTTACTGTACGTACTTTATCAGCAACGAAAAATAAAAATATATAATTAGTGTTCAACTTGCTTGACATTTGAAGGACGATTTTGAACTTTTATGAAAACAAACATTTTTTTTTTGTTTTTGACACATGGAATAGCATGAAAGTGCAGCAGCAATTCGGAGAATGCATGCAATATATTTTTACATTTTTCTTTTATTTATAACAGTGCTGCAAGTTTAATATCAAATATGCTATTTGAGAATAAAAAAAACGGAAATTTAATATAAATCAAAAGTGGTAATTCGGAAAATTATTAAAATATGAAATTTTACTCCCAAGTTGGGAGTCGCAACTGGAAAGAGTGTTGTATTCCTAATTGTTCCAAATTATACTAGTCATAAGTGAGAATGTAGTTTGTTAGAATAGCTCAAAAAGTTAAGTGAGAAATAGTTAGTTCCATTCGCAAACTACTCCCTACTAGCACGTTTCTCTGTACGTTTAAATATAAACGAAAAGAATTAAGTTAATAACACTCTAACTTACGTATTAAGTTGAAAACTCTTCTTCTGTTTACAAATGAAACAGCAACAAATGTTAAAATTCATATAGAATACACCTGATATAAACGGGATCGCTCAAAATGAAGCGAAATTTCCGCAAATTTTTGAACAATAGTTTTAGTTGTTCTGGGCTAATAACAGAAGTTTTTCACAGTTGCCGTTCACTGCTTTGGTTTTGCTTTTACAATTTAGAAATTCATAATTTTCTAATTCTAACATTAGAGAAACTGTAGAATAGAACATTATATATTAACTGATTAATAATAAGCTTTGCCTCAGTAGCGTCTTTTTTCACGTTTCACGTTTTCCAAGAATCAAATTATTATTTAATTTTTTGACAAGCCTTATTGCATTAATTTTAACATTTACTTTGACGTTTTCAAAAAATAACTCTTTGTTTACCAAGGTATTTTATATCTTGTTATAGGCTTAGAGGTTAAAATAAAGCCTTTGTTTTTTAAAATTAAGAGGAAAATTTTATGTTTTAAAAATTATACAGTATATTTCTAGTTCACTGAGTAAGAAGGTGGTTAATTCCTTCCCTCTTTCCTGAAATAGAACTGGATGACAATAGAACTAGAAAAATTCCAATATAGCAAACTATTAATTTATTATTAACTTTACCTCGTAGATATTACATCTACGTTAATTTTTAGTAGGTGGATTAATACTAATACGTTAATGTATTTTAAATTTTGAATAAATTACATAGAATTATATAAATTGAATATAAATTATCTGCGTCTATCTTGTTATTTAAAAACAGTGCACGTTGCATTTAAATAATTATTGTTTCGATTTAATTAAGTTATTAAAATTGAACATTTCACTTCTGTATGATGCTACTAGAAGCAAATAATGAATCGTTTATTAAAATTTCTTCTTCATTTCAATTCTCAGTAAAGCTTTTCGTTCATTTAAATTTTATGTTGTCTTTTTTTTAGCAAATTTTGTAAAATAAATTTAACAACTGAATGGTAACGAAATAATGTAGTCGATATACCGTGATAAAGCTTAAATAATCTTAATATAGGGAAAACTTTTGCATATCGTCCAGTTATAATTTGCTTCATATGCCGCTTTTAGACCTAATGGTAACTTTCTCCATTTTACAGCTAGTTTTTTTCTAATGTCGTAAACAAGGGGTCTCTATTATAACTGGTTACCAAGTAATTGAGTTAAGTCTGCCCAATATGCCTCAAATTTTTAAAGTTATCGCATATTACCGAAATGGGACAAAAGAGGGTTTATTTTGTTTATTTGCTTCGTGTATGTATGTGTATATAATTGTATATATGTAGGTATTATATGCCAATGTAGTAAGAATCTGAAAAGTAAACTTTTAAGTTTTGCCTTCAATCATTTGGTCTTCTATCATGTTGACCATAAATCCTTCGCCACTGAAGAAATTGCATACTCTACCTAAACATGTATGATATTGGTCACATTTACTTTGTTTGTAATACAGATCGAGTACTTGACTTGACTTTCTTTTTCGATTTTTTAATAGAAATAACCGGTAGAAAGTCAAGCTAATAATTTTATCATCCGACTTGAAAATTTCAAATCAAGTAGAGTTTATGTGATCTCGAAATTTGCTTGAAGGGTGCTTCAAGCTGCATATAAACGCAGTAATTGATAAAATCTTATAAATTTTTCAAAAAAATGACAGCTGTTCTTTGAATATAACGTACGTAGTTGAATGAGTGATGCATCAAATTTGTGTAAAATTTTAAAAATTGACTTTTTGGCGCATGATGCAACCACTTCCTGAGGCGTAATATACAAAGCTGTACATATATTTTTTCAATATAAAAATTTTAAAGCAATATGTACATACATACTTATATCTAGACACGTACATTCATACAAAACTTCTCAAAACTTTATATAATTTGTTTGCCTACATACATACATATGTACATATTTGTATTTCCACAATCGCGGTTAAATTAGTTTTAATTTACTTTTATAGTATGAATGTTTTTGACTCAATAACTTTATTTTGTGTTTTGCTATTGAACTATCAACACTATACTTATTCAGCTCATAAAATTTTATTTCTTACAAAGTAGAAAAAATATTTAATAATAATTTTTGGTTTAAGAAATTTTAAAAATGAAGTTATACTTAATTTTAATTTCAACAATAATTACTCTAGTTAATTCTCATGAAGGTGGTCATCATAATGAGGATTCGGATATTACGAAATTTATGAAACACTTGGAAGTTATACCGGATGTAATAACGGAAGGACCAAAAAATTTTTTAACAGTTAGTGCACTTATATAAACTAATAAAGTTATCGTATTAAAAGAATATTTAACAAATTTATGGCTAATCATTTTTATCAATTTACATAGATTAATTTTGATAGCGGTGTTCAAGCCGATAAAGGAGTTGAATTAAAGCCTGTTCAAGTTAAAAATCAACCAAAATTAAAATGGGATGCAAATAAAGATTCATTTTATACAATAATAATGACCGATCCAGATGCACCAAGTAGTGAAAACCCAAAGATGAGAGAATGGCATCATTGGTTAGTTGGAAATGTTCCTGGTGATGATATTGAAAAAGGAGAAATTTTAAGTGAAGTATGTTTAAAAAATAAAATTTTTACTTTATTGATTGATTATTTAAGCATACAGTGTGTTCTACCTACTAAAGGCAATTTAATTTCAAATATTTTAATTGGAGTATAAAGATTTTCTTTTCAATTTTCTCCGATTCTTTAAAAACAAAATCTTCACAGTGTTATTTTTTAAATTATGTAGTATTTTTAAATGCAGAAGCCTATATGAATTTCATATTACATTTCTATCAGTTTTCTGTTATACACGCTTTGTAACACAATGACTTATTCATTTGCAATATACGAATTAAGAAATTATTTTTTTTAAATTAAAATTGTTTTGTATTCATTTTACAAGGTGCTTTATGTTCCATTACTATAAAATATAGTTATATTTTACTTACGTACATACATAGATATCTCAATTATAAAATTAAATCAAAATTATTTTAACAATTTTTTGGAATTAAGTTCATTCAAAAGTATTTACTTTTAGAGGTACAATATACCTAGATTCATATTTTTTGAATGTATTTTAAATCCTATTTAAAAGAATTTTATCAGGACCCATTCCATTATTACATGGCATATTAGGTACATACGCCTAAATTTAAATTAAGTTTCTTTTATATTTTTTTTATCATTACAGTTTGTTAGCTCCGCCCCACCAAAAGACACTGGTTTACATCGTTATGTATTACTTGTTTATAAGCAACCAGATGGTAAAATTAATTTTGATGAGCCACGTTTAAAAAATAATAGTGCTGAGGGCCGTGGAAATTTTTCAACTAAGAAATTTATTGAAAAATATAAATTTGGTGCTCCGGAAGCTGGTAATTTTTATCAGGCTCAATATGATGATTATGTACCAACAGTTCATAAGCAACTTGGTTTTTAAAAACACACACATTCTAAAGAACCGTTATTTCTTTTATTTCATTTTTGTTTTTTCTGATGTTTTTTTTCTAAATTTTTTTCAAAATCTAGTTTAATAAAAAGCAGATATTTTTTTATTTTTTGCTTTCTTTGTCAAAAATTTTCAATATTATTTGAATACCAATGTGAGGCTATAAAAAAAGTATGGCTAAAAAATTTTGTTTTTCTTTTTTTTTTGTTTTGTGTTTTTGTGATATTTTTGTTTTTTTATAGTGACTTGTTTGATTATCACACTATATGATTATAAAATTGCTTTTTCTAAAAAATTAAGTAGATTTAAAATTAAAATTGTGATGAAATAAAAAGATTCGTAATTAAAAAGAGAAAAAGAAAGAAATAAATCGTATTTTATTTATTAATTAGCGAGTTGTGCAAGTTTTTTACTTTTTTTTTTTATGATAATATTAAAATTAAAAAATTCGTGTTATCATCAGATTATAACGATTGAGTTAAAGTGTAGACTAGTAAGAGATAATATTGAAAGTATCTTAAAAATATGGTGGTGCTACTGTACACCAAACGAAAGATTAACAAGCTAAGAAAATGCAAATTTTTTTTTTGTTAATTAATTTTTGTTTTCATTAAAAATATAACGGTATACCGCAATATTTAAAAGATGAACTGAAAGTGGGTACCGAAATAAAATTTTTATTTTAGTGGATATTGTTATGTAACCAGGTGTGTTGTCTTGAATTTTAATTGTGAATATTATTTCTACAAAGTAAACTAATCATTTAAATAAGTTAAAAAGTATATTATAATATGCCTACACAAGTATAAAACAAAAATATTAAATAATTATATACAAGTGTGTATGTATGTACATGTATTTTAAACTTTTGGAATATTTTATTAAAACTAGTTCCACCCAGCAAGTAGCAATTATTCAAAATTGTAGGAATTAATTTTAGATCTATTCATAAAATATAGCATAAATTCATTTAAAATAGATTCTTAGATTCATAAGAAAATATCTTTGGAAAATTATATGTACCTCCATGATCCTGTTTTAAATTTTGAGTTATTGTTTCACTGCAGCCTTAGTAAAAGTGTACAATTAAATATAAAACTTTTTATATAAATTTGTTATGTAACGGATTTTTTTTGTTTTATTCCAATTCCTAAATTTAATATAAGGAATAACGCATCGCTGTGATATAAATGATTCAATTCAAATGATTCCTTACTGATGCTGATGCAATCTTGATACTGTTGCTTTACTTGATGATTGACGTTTTTGGAAATTCTTTTTTCCAATTTTGATAGTAAAATCTGATTTTGAATTCCGTAAGTTTTAAATAAATATGGACAAGAAAATTATTAAGGAAGCAAGTGTTCTTAAAAGTACAGTTTACCTTTTTTCCATAACTATAACACTTTTTAAACTAACGCAAAATGAACAATAAACACAAAATGAACAAAATCTGCAAATTAACAATTGCACGTACAAAATCGAATGTATTTTGACAGCACCCAATAATGTATAGTTTGCTTAAATTTGTACACCAGATGCAATTGTGACGAAAAAGAATTTTAAACTTTATTGACATGATGCATCAAAATATTTTTGAATTTTAAACTAATGTGATACGCTCCGTCACTGTATTTTTCGTTCCACTAATTAAACCGGGTATTTTTTATTATAACAGAAAAATTCAATAAAATTATGTGAAGTTATAAATTTGTAAAGTATTTGAATTTAATTCTAGATATTTTATTCATAATTATGGAACAAGTTCAAAATTTAATATTGAAGCACTTAATAATGGTACGTCACTGCATTTGACACTGCATAAAGACAAATGTCTTTACATTTTTGCATATATTTTTTTTAACTTGTAGAACACTTAATTAAGACCCTATATAACATACTTTTTTTAATTTAAAGTTCAAAAATATCAAGACGAGAAATTTATGTTTTCATGCATTCATCAGTGTATATGCATTTATAAGTATAAGTATCTATACTTTTGTAAAATAAAAAACCGGTTAAAGCTTTCAATATGTACATACATATATATAAAGTATGAGCACTTTCAAAATGAATAAATTGATATTAAATTAAATTTCTTCACACCTATAATGTTAATTTACCGGTTTTTATTTTTACGCAAACTTCGTGTTTATAACTATGTGTATATTAATACTAACATTCACCTACAGCCGTTATTCGACTTGATTTTTACTTTTTTTATAACACCTACAACAAAATCGTGAAATATAAATACTTAATAATATCAATATAAAACCACATTAGCTATTAGGATTGCCAGATAAACAAAGAGTAAAACGGGACAGATATGTATGTATAATCGGCGAGTAAGTGTTTTTTCAGTATTTTTCAGTCTTGCCAGTTTGATGTTAATTTGTGAAGAAAATGTTTGTTGTAAACATACAAATGCCTTATTTCGAATAAACTAAAATATTTGAATATTGGTTAATTATTGAATATTATATAAAGTAAACCTTTAAAAGTGAGTATTTCGCCACGTAATCATTAAGCATCTCGCCGAAAAGCGAAATAAACATCTTATAACGGCAAATAAGCAACTATCAGTTCAACAAGTAGCAGACGTCATCAATTACAGGAAAGGTATAAAAAAATCTAAGGAGCATTCTGCAAAATTAACTCTAAGAAACTAGCGAATTCAATAATTCTATTACCATTGGTTACGCGACATCTTTTGTATCTATGGTTGATGTTTAATTCCTCTTGCTTGCAAAGCTGATGTTTGATTCCTCTTGCAAATACAACATTTAATAAACGTTAGAGAAAATTTAATATTATTAAAATTGAAGTACATTTGGCAGTTCTATTCCATGTTTTAGTTTTGTTATGTTTCTTCTATTGTACTGTAGCAAATATTTCTTGTAGATTCATCTATGTATTTATGTATATATAACACAATATTACTTAATTTATTACATCTTAACTGGGTTTGGGTATCAAAATAAACTTGTAACATTTTTATTTTAGTTGCAAAATAAATTACAAATAGAATAAGTCGGGAGAAGTTAAAAGACAAATTTTTTAATTTTAGCAAAATAAAAGTAAAAAAAATATTTGCAAAAATATTTGCTATAATAAAAAAGAAAAAGCTTTCTTATCATCATACCAAAGCTCCGAAATATTTGAAAAATGTTGAAGTTATTTACAATTTTTATAGTAGTCGGCTTAGTAAATTCCAACAAAATGGAAGTGGATAAAGTATTTGTTGAAAATGAAATTGTACCTGATGTTATTGACGTTGCACCAAAAGAAATAGTTGAGGTATGTATGTACATATGTACATAGGTAACTAAATTACAAAAAACTATATTTAAAAATTAGCCGGAGGAATAAATAATATGTCAAAGAACAAAATATTTCGTATTTATGTTTCTAAATGTACTATATGGACTGTATGACTTTAGCGCATTCATTTTAGTTACTCAATATAAAAACTCTAATTGCTATAAATAAAAATCAATGAGCTTTTATAATACCGGCGTTTCACATTGTATAACATATGGAGTACTTTACATTTCATTTCACACTCTAAACTCAAAAAGGGAAAAAATTACTTATATGAGAAAGACTATGTGAAATTACTTATAAAATCACGCAATCCCGTTGGGGAGTTGTAACAGGCAAGTAGAATTTTATATCTGTTTAAAAATATTCTGTTTTTACATGTATGTACATAGGAATGTATAAATTTTATCAAAATAAAAGTGAAAGTATTACAAAAGCGATTTTACTGCGAATCGCAAATTTCAGAGGAACATCGAATCGCAAATTTTGCAGGAAAATCGCTTTTTCTGCCCAAAATGAAGCGAAATTAAGCGCCGGCGAAATAAAAGCCTGAAATCCTATTTTTTTGACATCACATGTTTCCATGTGTACAAAATACTGAATAGTTGATTTTGCCGTTCCTCTGTTATTCTGTGTCAACAAAGGAAATCGTCTGCCGTTTTTCTTCTCCGCTTTGGTTCTGTTTTTATTTATATTTGTTTTTAAATATATCATAAAAAATACGAAAGAAAAAATTTTTTATGTTTATTAACAAGCTGTGATTTAAAACTTTTGTTGTATAATACTGTATAATCTATTCTATACAACTTAATTAATCAGTATCTAATTGATAATGATAGTCTATTGAAACTGCACGTAAAACTTGACTTCGAGTTGTGAATTTTAAAATTATTTCTATTAATTATTTTGCATGACTGTCTGTTTATCTTCTGAGTGAGAATTAATGTGTATAATAGGTTTTGATGTACATATGTATGTAATCTTGAAAACAAGTAAACATGTATATACATACATACATATAAGTATATGTATGTAACTTGATTATATGTAATCGTATTTTAATAGACGAGGGGACCCATAACCAATCAAAGTCTCTGGTAACCGTGAAAAACAGGGAAATAAAACAATTACATTAAATCAAAATGTTTTCCCTTAATTAGTAATATTAAATTTAATTTGCTTATTGTTACTGCTGTTTATATGAATTTATAATTGTGCTTATAAAATAATTAATTTAAGGTTTCGTATCCAAGTGGAGCAAAAGTAAATTTGGGTAAGGAATTAACTCCAACTCAAGTCAAAGATATTCCTGAAGTAAAATGGAGAAGCGAATCGGATGCTCTATATACATTGTTGATGACTGATCCAGATGCCCCAACACGTAGTAATGCGACATTTAGGGAAGTACGACATTGGCTGGTTGTGAATATTCCTGGTAATGATATTTCGAAAGGAAATACTCTATTTGAGTATATTGGTTCTGGCCCGCCCAAAGATACTGGTTTACACCGATATGTATTTTTAGTGTTTAAACAAAAAAAGGCGATTGAAACTGACAATTTGCCAGTTACATCTAACAAGTAAATTAGTCGCAATTGTATCGCTTGCGCTTTTTCATATTTAATTTCAATTGTAGATCTCGCGAGGGACGATTAAAATCTAAGGCAAGGGAGCTTATTGAAAAATTCGAATTACAGGATGTAATAGCAGGCAATTTTTATCAAGCTCAATTTGATGATTACGTTCCAATACTACACGCACAATTAGGGGGTGCACCACCAAAACCATGATTTTTTTTATGAATATTTTTATAATTTGTTTGTCTGTTTTAATCGATTTGTACATGCATGCATAGCTAAGTATTTATATGTACGATGTAATTTTTTTTATTAAATAATTTTAATAACATTACTTTTGTACATATGTATGTACATATATCAAAAATATGTTTTTAACTAAAACTTTAATTTAACCACACGCTGATTCGAGGCTAAAATACATTGTATATGTTCGCTAAAGGAATGAAATTTATTAAAGAAACCTGGAATAATTTGAGATTCTTTAAATAAGTTATACATTAAAAAGTTTCATCTTTAACCAACATTTTGTCTTTAACTTCTGGCTTAACAAAAAATTGCAAACCCTTGGAAAAGAACAGGCCCTAAATATTGCGTCAAGAGATAAAGCTTATTATTTTTTACTATGATTTTTAAAATTTGATGCAGTAAGCAGTATATTATTTCCGTGAAGTAGGGATGCAAGAAATTATTTTTTTTTGAAAAATCGCATTTTGTAATTCGTCACCATTATTAAAAAAAATTAGTCCGACGGTGTAGTTGCATATTTAAACACAAAAAATAAGTCTTGGAGCGCTAAATTTTTTCCCTTATCACAGATATTTAATTTCTGGATACCTAATAGTATTGGAAGAGTACTCTATTGGAAAAATATAACATTTTTCGACCCATTCTTTTCCTATTGCTCTTTATTATTTGAAATAATTTCGATCCTAATTTTTAAATTTTTACGAAAACAAAAAATATGCAAACGAGGGAATCATTTATATCAACAAATAAAAGAACAACAATGTTTGTTGCATTTAACAATATTTGTTTGAAAAATTATACAATTAAAATTCAAAAGCAGAATAAGTGTTCAGGTTCTAAAATTATTTGATTTGACGTTTTGACGGTTATTTTTTAGTTTTGTGTTTTGGTATCTGGCATTGCTGACATTGTAGAATTGTAAACAGGCAATATTGTTGAAAAAAAGTATTTGTAGTTGAAAATAAATGACAAGTTACTTTTATTATTTTACTTCAATACAAAAAGTAATTTCAGCTCACTGGATTTTGTTAATATTATTGTAGTGTTTTAGGAAAAATACGTAAAATATAAATTTTTATTACAATGTCAAGAGGAAGTTCAGCAGGTTTTGATAGACATATTACCATATTTTCCCCGGAAGGCCGTCTATACCAAGTTGGTAAGTTTATAAAGAAAAATTTGCATCATCATCGATTCTAACCTCGTATTGTATTCAGAATATGCCTTTAAATCAATTAATCAAGAAGGAATTACTTCGGTTGCTGTTAAAAGTGAGGATACTGCTGTAATAGCTACACAGAAGAAAGTAACAGAAAAATTGATTGACCCTTCAACTGTAACTCACATGTTTAGAATAACTAAAGCTATTGGATGTGTTATGACTGGAAGAATAGGTAAGATATTAGACGCTTTACTAAAATTTCACCAAAGTCTTTGTTGACTAAAAACTGTTCATTTTAGCTGACAGTAGGTCTCAAGTGCAACGTGCGCGATATGAAGCTGCAAATTGGAGATACAAATTTGGATATGATATGCCGGTTGATGTTTTATGTCGCAGAATTGCTGACATAAATCAAGTTTATACGCAGAATGCTGAAATGAGACCGTTAGGTTGCAGTAAGTATTCACCTTCAAGATTTAGCAATTAATTCGTTATTTATACAAGAGCTTTTGTGCTTTGGTTGACAATTTAGTTTTGTTAGAAATCTAATTTTTTGATATCTCAATTTAAAGGTATGATTTTGGTTGCTTACGATGATGAGAAAGGTGCCTGCATTTATAAAACCGATCCAGCTGGTTATTATTGTGGTTTTCGCGCTTGTTCGGTTGGAGTAAAACAAACAGAAGCCAACAGCTACTTAGAAAAGAAAATGAAAAAACCTCCTACTACTGGAGAGGAGGCTATTCAAATGGCTATTACTTGTTTGTCAACTGTATTAGCTGTAGACTTTAAACCAAATGGAATAGAGGTCGGTGTAGTTACAAAAGATGACCCCAGTTTCAGAACTTTAACAGAAAAAGAAATTGAAGATCATTTAACTAAGATCGCAGAAAAAGATTAATATGTAATCAACTTTTTATTTTATATTGGAAAGGAAAAATTCTTAAATTACAATAAAAAATCGTGTAATATACATGAAAATTTTTTTTTATTTCCCTGATGCGGTGGCGAGAGGATTTCTTAAAACTAAAATTACTGAATCTCCTCTTAAGAACATTTTCGAGATGAACCTATCTTTATTTACAGGTTTGATTTTCTTTTTTCCTTTACCGGTTCTTGGAACTTCTGTCCACATTTCTTTGACGTTTTCTAGAACCATGTTACAATGGCGGTCAAAAGCTTTAACTCGCCCCAATAATTTCTTATTATTACGGCAGTTGATTAATACTTGAGTATTATTTTTAACAGATTGTGTTAGAACGGAAAGTGGTCCTGTATTGAACTCCTCTTCCTCTTGTCTAGCAAGTTCTTCTGGTGTCAATTCCGATTTTGGTTTCACAAGAGCCCTGTAATATTATTTTATTAAATTTTACTGATTTTTTTTTAAATATTATTATTCACTTACATGTTAAAATACAATAAAATATGTACTTAGAAAATATAGCGGCTTTGGATTTATAATTTGTTAAATGGAGTTGGAGCTGGGTTATGTTATTTGCTAATACTATGTATAAATTTGATTGATATGATGTTTATGTCAAGATGTTGTTTTTTTTTCAGTGCTGCCGCTAGTTTAAAAACTTTTTTTGATAGGGTGCTTTTGTTAAATGGATGCAAATAAATTTTTGAGTACAATATTGTCTTACTTTTTCCCATTTACATTTATTAAACATTTATAGCTTTTCACAAAAAATTTTTTATAAATGGTTTATATACGATTTGAATTCCCTTACAATAAGCTTTGTAGTGGTGTAGACATAGGCAATTATCTAAAAAAAACTTTCCCATTTTTTTCTTAAACAACATACAGTAAAAATGTAAAAGAAAAGAACATTTCACGTTATTTCAAGGTGTTAATTTTTATTGCGTTCCTAGATGTAAATGAACATAGCATATTCATTGTTTTGAAGTTAATGATAGAACAGTGTAAAAATATTTATAGCTATACCACGGCGTCAAATGAATTAAATTGGATTTTTCAAAACCAAATCAATGCGTCACACAAACAAATTTTTGGGATGGCAATACTCTCCTTCACTATTGTGAATTCTAATTCATTTAGTTAATCGTGACGTTTTTTACCCTGGTTTTGACATTCTTTGTTGTTTACATTTTTTTTTGTGTTATAATAACTAAGTATTTATTTCTTTATTTTCGGTAATTTAACAAAAAAATAATTTGCATAAATGTATTTGGCTTATATATGTATATATTTTGATATATGATTCATAGATAGTTCAAGCTTCGTTTTGTGCAGTTAAATACTTTCAAAAAAGTAAGATGAAACTATAGGTAGACTACACCAATAGCGCTCGAAATAGTACAATCACCCTATAAGGATAATCTTATCAAAAATAAACTAATTGCCGCTATAAATTAATCTTTTTTTAAATATTTATAAAGTTAGACTGAATATTTTCAGTTTAGTAAAAGCGCAATTATCTAACGCAAATGATGCAGTATTTTTCGGATTGCGGGAAGTTTTTAGCAGAGAGTATAAATAAGATTTTTGGTGATAGAGAGCCATGGCAAATAGCAACTTTAACTGCATCGGGTGTAATTAGTTTGCATTGGTTATGGAATACTTTAATTCAAGATGAATGTAAGTAACTTTTATAAATTTCATTTTTTATACTATAAAAATCGACTTTTAGACCCCCCATAAAAATTATATAACAATCTGAAATAATATAACAATATATACATACGTATGTAGCTACATAGGTTTTTTATAAAAGTTTTTTATATTTTGTAGGTTTATATGAACGAAGTAAAAAATGTTTTTTTAGTTATGCGAAAAAAATTCCATATGTGAGGGCCAAAGTCGAGGCAGAAATAGATAAAATTAATTCCGAATTTCAAAGAAATACATTGGAAAATACAAAAGATGTAACGTATTTGATTAGATTGCCTGAAAAAGGACTAAATTATCAGGAAATATCCAAAAAGGTTGATCAGCATTTAAATTTGGGATCGTATGATTGGAGAAACGGTCGTGTCTCTGGTGCTGTATATTATTATAATGAGGATTTAATAAAATTGACTACGGAGGTGTATGGGAAAGCTTCTTATACTAACCCATTACATGCAGATTTATTTCCAGGCATTTGTAAAATGGAATCTGAAGTTGTAAGAATAACTGCAACATTATTTAATGGTGGTCCTAGTGTTTGCGGAACCGTAATATATTTTAAGATTTTCTGTATTATCGAAACTATTGTGAAAAATATTTTTAGATGACAACTGGGGGGACGGAGTCCTTGTTAATGGCTTGTAAAGCTTACAGGGATTATGCAAAAGCGAACAAAGGAATAACTAAACCAAATATTGTCGCGGCTACGAGTGTTCATGCAGCAATAGATAAAGCTGGACAGTACTTTGGAATTCATATTAAATCAATTAAAATTAATGAAAAAACTATGGCTGTGGATGTTCGTGCAATGGAATCAGCCATTAACAGAAATACCATAATGGTAAGATTTTTAAGATAAATTCAATGATTTTTTAATGAAGGAGTGAAACATGTTGTAATTTTTGTAGTTAGTCGGTTCAGCTCCAAATTTTCCTTACGGAACAATGGATGATATTGAAGCAATAGCGAAACTGGGTAAAAAGTATAATATTCCTGTGCATGTAGATGCATGCTTGGGTGGATTTGTGATAGTTTTTATGAAGAAAGCGGGTTATAAATTACCTCCGTTTGATTTTAGTATTGATGGTGTAACAAGTATATCTGTCGATCCCCATAAAGTATGTGTAGATTTAACGGAAAGTTATTCTTATTTGTAATTTTTTGTAATTTCAAGTATGGTTTCACCCCCAAAGGCTCATCTGTGATTTTGTACTCAGATAAAAAATATCGTCACTATCAATATACGGTAACTACTGATTGGCCTGGTGGCGTTTACGGATCACCTACTGTGAATGGTTCCAGAGCTGGCGGTGTTATTGCTGCATGTTGGGCTGCCTTAATGAGCTTCGGTGAAGAGGGTTATATTGAAGCAACGAAATCTATTGTTGATACAGCCAGATATATAGAAAACGAGTATGTATTATCAAGCAAATCAAAATACTTAGATCAAACAAATTTCTACATTTATTTAATTATTTCTTCTTAAAAATACTTTAAGATTACGAAAAATCAAGGGGTTGTTTATTTTTGGTACTCCAGCTACAACCGTTGTAGCAATGGGTTCACACGATTTTGATATTTTCCGTCTATCGGACATGTTGTGCCATAAAGGGTGGAACTTAAATGCGTTGCAATTTCCATCAGGGTAAAGCAGACAAAAAACCTTTGTAAATCAATTAATATTTGTAATAAATTTTGTCAATTATTATTTTAGAATTCATTTCACTGTTACTTATATGCACACAGTTAATGGAATTGCTGAAGCTTTTGTTAAAGATGTTAAACTTGCTGTAAATGATATTCTAAAGAATCCAAGTGAAAAAGTCGAGGGTAAAATGGCAATCTATGGCGTAGCACAAAGTGTACCTGATCGCTCATTAGTTGGTGATTTCACAAAAGCGTTTATTGACAGTATGTATTATGTCCCACCAGAATTATAGAGTAATAAAAAATTTATTTTTAAAAATTAATTTGAAAGAATCACAAATTATTTAGATGAATTGTTATTTTTGTCTACATTCCTATACAATACTAAATAATTTTGTAATAAAATTTTATAGATACTTTAAATAATAAGCTCAGATATTATATACATATACATCTTCTATAAAAATCACACATTTATTTTATATACAAAATTGGTTTCTATGTACTTTAAATGTCATTTATAAATGAAATGTTGTATACCAAATGTAAAATAAGTTTTTATTAGAAATAAAATTAAAAGATTATTGGTTGGATGAGAAATTAGTTTTTTTTAGACCTCAAACCTTAACATATGGACCAAAATTTTGCGTATTTATATAAAAATATACATCCACCCTTTAAGATATAAACTAAAAATTCTGAATGAGTTAACCATTAATTTAAAATTTCCAAATTAGAATGCTAAATATTTTTAATTAACTTGATGTCGGGACGTAACTATAAAAATTTAAAATGGCTTTAAGAAGACTGCAAAAACAAATGAGTTCAACGCAGTTTAAAATTTAATTAATTGATTGTGACCTCTTAATGAATAAAAAATATAGTACATATTCGCATGAATACATGTATACATATTCGCATGAATACATTTGTATTTTTTATTTTTTGGGTGTAGCCACTTTATTAGAAACCTTTTAAAAAAGTTTTCAAAAGCTTTCTCAGTATGTTTAAATAAAAACGTTATAATTATAACGTCTTTAGTTCAAATTGATCCATTATATTTAAAATTTGGCAGGAAGATCAACAGATTAATGTTAAAAAATCTAATATGCAAAGGTGTGACTTTCTTGAAAATAATTTAATTGTGTTGTAAATTTTTTTCTCCAAAATTAAATGCTCATATTATTCCTGAGTTAGGTTTCTCTTTCTGTTAGGTTCTGCCTTGTATATGTATTATTTTATGGTTTTATTTAATTACTAGGTTTTATTTTTAAATAATTAAGTAAGATTATTATTTTTTTTTAAAGACAAAGTTTGCAAACAAATTGAGTTGCGATAATTACTCAAAAGTTGTTACTGAATTTATATGATTGTGTTTAGTTAGTTTATACTCGTAGTTAATTTTTTATATCACAAATGGAATTGTGGGAATTTCATATACCTTAATTATGATTCTAATTGATTATGATACTAATGTTTCAAGAATTAACACTCGGTAATCCTTAATGCTTTATGATGGTTTAAATTTTGTGTTTCTGATGTAGTAATAAGCTAGACAAGCCTACGAGTTGTTATTCAATATTTATCTACTGGCGAACTCTTTACTAGCCGAATATTTTGTTGTCTAAACTTCCTATATTGTCACTATACAATTCAAATAATATACCCACACTATTCAATAGAGCTCTCTAACTCGCAAATTAGAAAAAGAAAAATTTTTTTTAATATTTAATAACTAAGAATTTATTTTGTTTTTTCTCCTGTTCAACCCAGGTGGGTGACAAGCCTATCGTAGTAATTAAGAATTTATTAATTTAATTTAATTAAGTTTCAGTTTGTGCTATATTATTTGCTATGGTACTCATCTGGATGCTTAGGTGTATGTTTTTTGTGCATAAATTTATTTGTACAAATATCTTATAAGGTTATTTTGAATCAGAAATTTTCAGTTTACTTGTGAATGATCAAAGATTTGTAATAGATTTACAATGATATTTACAGATTTAAATATTTTATTTTCCACTTGTTCATGTTCAAAATTTTGTTGTACAATTTCGATATTTTTACAATTTTGCCGTTATATTTTAATTCATAACGCTTTGGTTCTCGTATTTTAACACCCCATTCTCTCTTAAGAATTGAACTACATTTGAAATTTTATGTTTCCATTTTCATTTTGAATTGTTTTATCTTCATTAGTACTATTTGCGCTTCTGTTTTTGTTCTCCTTCTTGTCATAGTCCGGATTTTTCGCAAAACTTAATTCCTTCTCGATTAAATCTTCAATGTTTAAAACCTCCATATTCACTTTATCAATATCAAATTGATTACCGCTAATGGTATTGATTTTGATAACCGAAATATCTTCATCATATTTTACTTTTTTAAGATTTGGTTTCTCAACTACTCTTAAAAATGCTGTAACCTTATTATGACATTCCAAATGTTCTAAATAATTTCGTCGCAATACAAATGTAAAAAAATATATAAATTCAATAGCTGAAACTGTACTAATACCCAAAAATAAACTGTAAGAACCCCCGAAGTTAGCTAAAATGAAAGAAAAAAAAATAATGTACGAAATGAATAAAATTATTGTTATAAATTACTCACATATCAAATTAATGATGTTGTAAATAAGATCACGTCGAAAACGGGTATAAGTTTGGGAATCCATATAGATATGTATAACTGTATTATTTGTTTTATCTTTCATATCCGAACTAAAAATAAATTTTAATTTCAATAATGGGATAAAAAACCACAAAAATTTATAGTTTTACTAGAAAGGTTCAACACATTCAGGCATTTTTTCCAATGGTACTTGACTTATAGTTGTTTTATAGGTGATATCAACGCAATTTGGTAGACATGAACATTTATAAAACGAGGTACCTTCTTCAGCAAAATTTAAATCTTGAAATTATATTAAAAACTGATTTGAATAGTATTGTAGTAATAAATCTTTAATAAAGAATTAAAAAACTTAACAATTTATTAAATAAAAAAACATTTATTTTAAATTGTCTTACCATAGTTTTCCACTAGACAAGGTACTTTAGAAAAATTACAGATCTGATTTGTACCAGCTATTCCAAAAAAATATGGTGAACAACCACAATTTTGTATAACATTATTTATCATACATTCCACTTGGCAATTACTTGAATCATATTCAGGAAAGAAAGCCAAGGGTCTTTCATTGCGAAAAACACAACCACGATCTGATACTGATAATTGCTTAACTTGATTTGAACAAATTATTTCTTGAGCTTGAATACCAATAAAACTTTCTAATCCAAGTCCAATAAATAATGGATCGTCAAAATGTGTTGGAAAAACATCATTTTTATGTATTATTAATCTAAAACCACGAGATTCAAATTCAGTTACAGCTTTATCATCCATTATTGGTGATAACATCACTGATAAACCACCAAAAATTCCAGCTTCTAAAGAAAAGATGTTCTTGTATGGAATGCTAGTTAAATATAAGATTTAAGAAATCTAAATTAAAACATTTATTCATATTTAATATTCTGATACTTTTACCCATCTTGTTTAATATTAAATGAACAACATTCTCCAAAAAATGTTCTTGCTTGTGTAAATAATTTATGACAGGGTATAATTTCTAAACGCCAACGGCATTTAACAAAAAAATCTTCACATTTTTGACGTAAACTTGACATAAATACTGGAATTGTATAACGGTTTGCTTCCATAATTTCTTGAAGATCTACTAGCATATTTTCATCATAATTAGCTTTTAAATCCATTCCAGCAGCTTGATAAACAGTATTTAAGGCTGTCATATTGGTAACATTTTTTGGTAATTTTCTAATCAAATTGAAAATTTTAGAAAATTAAATAGGATAAATGTTTTAATAAATTCGAACTTCATTTGCTTTAAGGCTGTTGCACATACAAATATATTTAAACTGAATGATCTTTAAAAATTCAATATCAATAACTTCTACTTACAGTGCATTAACTAGATCTTTTGCCACCAAATAACTTATAACGTCTGCATTACATATTGTTACTGCTGGAAATTCTAAATTTGGTAATTTTGCATGAACTGTATCGATATTAACTCTCGTAGGATTATTTATGAAATCACCATAAAATGTTGAAACCAATTGATTAGCACAGCAAAAAGATACAAAAACTATAACAACCCACACTCCTCTGCCCAAGTACGATGTAAGCATTGATTTAAAAAAGAAAATTGTAACTTTTTTTTTATCACCACAAAATATAAAAATTTTACCGCCAAAAATTGCTTGCTTCCGGATCAGTAATATATTTTAAACCTTGTATACTTGTTGTTTGTGTAAAATCAATAAAAGTTTTTTTAAATGCTTCGAAAAATATGTGACGTTTTGTCTTGTCCGGTTTTTTATTTAGTTTCGGATCAGTTGTTTCAATAGATTTAATAGGATCTAATTGTGTTTCCCATGGTTTTAGTGTATTATCTACTATGGTTTCTAAATCTGTTTTTGGTTTTGTATCCAACTGTGGTTTTGAAGCTACTGTTTCTGATTCCATTCCAAATTCTTATTTGAGTAATTGAGAACAATATAGTGTGTGTAATGTGTATACACCAACTTAAAAATTATAGTATCGGTGAATTATACTCTGAGTTATTCTGAAATTTCTGCCAGATCTTAAGTGGTGCTGTTTTGAACTAATTTACCGACTAATTCTTGAAAAAATTTTATATTATTATATTGGAATTGTATGCAAAAATGATCCGCCTTTTTGCTGTAAATGGAGTGTTAATTAAGTTAGTAATCATGTACGTACACATATACATTTCTACATTATGTAATCGCAATTATTGATTTGTAATTATTACAATATGCACCTCTTATTCTAATTTTTATAGATTTTTGGGTGAAATGTGAGGCAGGTGGATCCTGTTATTCTTTCAATTATAATCATGCTAAATAAGAGTTTTATTCTGTTAAAATTTGCCTTATAAGAGTTTTTCCGAATAAATTCCAATTCGAAAAAAATGGTTTCGAATAAATATGGCTAACATTGAAATAACTACGAAAAAGCTGTTCATAAATAGAACATTTTGGAAATGATATTAAAATAAACTAGAAAACCCTATACTCGTATTTAAGAGTTAAGTTGAAAGGTATGTAATTAAATTTTATATAACACTATTAAAATTGCGGTTTAAATTCTAATTTTCTTAGCACCTATATCTAGAAGATACTGAAATTATTGCGAAAACTTTTTTATACAAACTAAATCTTAGTATTAATGTGTGTTATAAGTATTAATCTCTTACGTATTGATTGGCTTTAATTATTGCTATTTTTAAGATGTTTGCTATTTAACCCTCTAAAATTAGTAAGGAGGTAATTGCGAAAAAAATATTTTACATATTTTTTTGTGTTTTAAATTATATATGTTTCCTGTTTCACTAATTTTATATAAGATCAAAACGCTTTTGGCATATCAAAAATCTACAAGTATAATGTTTGGCCGCTTTATTCATATAAAAAATTTACTACAATTAACATTGTTTTCCCCTTGTGTTATTGATTTGTGGTTTCAAATTTGATTTTAGGTATAATAATTATCTTTAATTAAAATACAAATTGTTATACCATTTAAGTTCTTGTATAATAATAATGTACATGTGTGCTTATGATATACTTGCTTTTGCAAATTCGTCTTCTGTTTCTGCTTCTTTTATAAATCATTAAATTCCAACTATCTTTATATGTATATGTACATAATTATAAATAGTCCCAAATTTATTTTTATATCTTTTTTATGTAATATACGTATTCCAAGTGAACCTATGTATAAAATGTGTTTTATGAATTATAACGTAGATATTTATTTATAAATGTATATTGAATAATATACAGTTTTACGCACAGGATATTATAATAAGTATGGCTCGTTAGAGAATTACACGAATCGTTAAGTTAAATACAAAATTCACTATTAATAACTGAAATTTACATACACAAACAAGTATTTATATAGGGACATAAGAAAAGGATAATGTGGAAATATAATGTGTATGATATAGTGTTGTATATTTTGATGAAAAGAAAACCTTAAAAATGAAAATACTTAGTACATAAATGTATTGTTATATAAGAATATTTCAATTCTTCGGATTAACTTCGTATTACAAGCTTCTTAGAAAAGCTTTTAGGAACTCTTTTAAGATTTTATTTAAGACAAAGACATAGGAGTTAAATCGAATGTCATACATATTGGTAATCGAATTACATCTTTATAAATGCCGGTGATGTGTGTATAATGCGGTTGTTTAAGGTGTAAATGGTCTTGTTTTCACTGGATTCGATTGGTTATAAAATGAATTAGAAGTAATTAATTTTAATATAAAATTAATGTAGTCAATAATATCGCCAAAAAAAAAAATTACTTTATTACTCATTAATGGTTATGCATTTCATTTGTTGAGTATGCTTGAAAACTATTGTCTATTGGCAGGGTCTTAGTAATTTTTTGAAGAAGTTAAATAACAACGTTTTAAATTTAAAAAAATTACAGCATGAATTTGGGCGTCAAATAAAATTTCTTTTGCTTTTCTACGATGATTTCTTTTCCTTTTAAGAATGTACTTTCCCATCCCACCTTGTAATAGTTTTTGGATTTGAGAATAACATTTATATATTTTGACGAAACAATATTTTCCTGACATTTCCATGACTTACCCGTAAAGTAGTTATTTTATATGAGAACTTATTGTAAAAGAATTAAATTTTAAACAATTAAAATTGAAATTTTATTGCAAATCTGTTGAAAGGAACTGATATAGAAGAAAAATATTTCATTGTTTAACCGCAGCCGCATAAACAAAAACTATACATAAAATAAATAAGATAACCTTAAACTATGAAAAGCACATTTTATCCAAATACCACCATAAAGGTGGGTGATCCTTATCAAAGCCAAAAGAGAAAAAAATACAAAAAAAAGGAAAAATTAAGAACTTACAAAAGTCACTATCAATGGAATTTAAGGACACATAAAAAGGAGACCAAAATAACCACAACTGAGAAAACTATGCATAACTAGATAATCTTGACATTGACAGCATAAGTAAATTTTGGTGGCTAACAAAAAGAACAAAAAACATAACAAATAGAAAAAAAAATCATTTTTGTTTTTGTATTCGACCCATTTTCCTTCTCATTTTTGGTTTTTCCTTTTAAATGTACGAAACATCAATTCTGAGGCAAGTTCTTCAACAAATTGAGAATAGGAAAAAGGATAATAAAAAAATATTTTTTATATTCTAGTAAAAAATAACAATAACAGGCGGAATTATTTAAGTTATGGGTTTAAAAAGATTTGTACACTTTATGGTATAAACTTTTGGTGACAGAATACAATGGTTTCCATTTCTTTATAAAGCTTATGCTGTGTTAATTTCTTTAATGAGTTATGAAGCTGTTTTAAGAGATTATTTTAGTAAAAATTTTTTTTTATTCTCAAATAACTTTTATGATTATTACCAGATTACATGGAATTAGTGTTTTATATGCTCATTTTTTTATTACAGTCATTTTGTTGGTATGTAGAGTAGTTAAGAATTTATTTTACAAGTTCTTAATCTATATTATCACCGGTAATACAAACAGGATGGGTGATTATTATAACCATTTCATGTATGTGAATTTATTAAAAAAATTTATACATATATACTCATTCATAATTGAAACAAATATCGTATAATTAGCTACTACTAGAAGGTATAGTTAATTATATTTTAATATTATTGATATTTTATTTTTGATTAGCTTTAGTTTGTTATTGAAATTGACGCAACTTTGAATGCATTGTTGAGACGAAAATTGCTGGGGGAATTAATTAAAAGAAATATTCTATGTAATGATTTTTGTTTCCTACTTCACCCTTGACAGGAGTATAGGACTGGTACATAATATCGTAGATAACTATGCCCCAGTTTCTTGCGTCATTGGATTTGATGAGCTCACTGTAGTTTTTTCTTTATATGGAATATTTAAGGTTTAAATATTGAATATTGTGTAAATATGGTAATTAGTTAATATTCATTTTGTTTGTTTGAAGAATTGAATATAATAGGGTATAATATGGGTAATATAATAATGCAAAGGTAATACAATATGGCTAAATGCAGAAATAGGGGAGTACATTATACAATAAACAGTGCAATTAATCATAAATAAACTATAAGAGTGCCTTCAATCAAAAAACCACACGTGCATATATTTAGGCACATTTTGCCTAACTTTTCTATACCCGACGGAAAGTTTACAGAATAATTGAATAATATATTGAAAGATGATCCGCTAATAATTTGAAATACCCAAAATTTTATGTTTACTCAAATCACATCAATAATTAGACAATTGATAAGCTTTTTAAATAGTTTTCTTTTTAAAAATTCGGTTTTTGGATTAGTTTTAATATTTCGTTATTAAATTCTACAAAAATTTATTTAATTCTAGTATCAACTTAAATACTTGTTCAATGTTAAAGGAAATTTTTTTTAAATTTTAAAAGTTTTGTGTGTCTATGGTATAAAGTTGTCATACCTTCCTTTCGTACTTTTTACTTTTCAAAATATTTTATTACAATCAAGTCTCCTTATGACGGTATCATGGCAGTAAGTCAACATTATCTTATTTTATTTTCAGTTTGAGCACATTGATGTTATAAATATTAAGTAGCGACACGTTTTTTTTTTGAAGTCCTGACAGAGAAAATTTAAGATTTCTATGTGTGTCGTTTTTGCTGTTTGAAATTCATGTTTTCGTGTCTAAATTTTTTGTTGTGAGGAATATTGTCTCACGATGAAAAATATTAAAGAAAAAGTTTGTAGAAAATAAAAGTTTAAAGAACAAAGTAGAGCACGAAATTAAATGAATTTAATTTATTTTTACCGACTGTATTGCATACCACAAGGGAGGTTGTATGATGGCAGCAAATTTATAAGATGTAGAGTTGTAGGTGAGAACGCACTTCTTCATGGCAGAGAAGCATAAATAAACTATTCTAAACTAGAGAGATGTCGGTGTGTCAGTTTGCGGGTCTGTCTGTCGGTCTGTCTATATCTGTGTGTGCACAAATTTGATATGTGAATTTATTTCGGCTATGTCACGAATTGATCAGTTTTGAAATATACCAGGATTCGTGAATATTTTAGTTCTAGTTGCTATCGAAAATAACTGGCGAACTGTCGTTTAAATTCAGATGACCCAAAGCAAGACTCTACTAATAGCCAAATTTACATTTTTCTAGGGATGTTAATAAAAAGCTTGCCAACTTCTTTCAAATTCGAAGGAAGTGTTCAAAAGGCATTTTAATAATCTTCTGTAACACCTTCGTCAAACTTGACAATAAACATTGGTTATGTGCTGACCACACCAAATTTTTTTATTGTTGTTATAATTTTTGATGTTCACTTTTTGGCGAATTTAAAAATTAAAAGTTGTCAGCATTGGTTTTTTTGTTTTTGGAAATTAAATTTAAAGTTTGAATTGCTTTTTGGTTGAGTCTAG